CCACACAACCACCCCACGAAGTCAAAGGCATTAGTTACCCCCATTTCACAGATGAGGAAACTGAGGCTCAAGGAGGTTACGTGACCTGCCCAGGTTCACGTAGATAGTGACAAAGCCAGGACTTGAACTCCTGTCAGTCTGGCTGCAGAGTCCCTGATCGTAATGACTAATCTGGATGATACCACAGGAACAGAGAGGAGGGGTGTACTAACAAGAGACATGGGAGTACGATGGTCATCAGGCATAGCCCTGGCAGCAAACAGAGCCCACCCCGGTGCTTCACAGGAAGAGACTCCAGTGAAGGGACCACCTACAGAGGTGTAGGTGGGGTTAAGGAAGAAAATACAGGTGTTGAGGCAACCGCAGGAAGCCCTCACCACTCCTAGGCCTCTTCCTGAGCCCAGAGAGGGCCAGAGCCACGTGAGGAGCCCAGCTGCCGCCAGAGACAGCACAGAAGCAGTGGCTGCAGGGAGCACATACCCCGTCTTCTCTCTCCCGGCCCCTCCCATCTCCTGATGGTGCCCTCCATCCAGCCAGAAGCCAGAGGGCAAGGGAACCTGGGAGGTGCAGGCGTGGGAAGGGCAGAGAACGGGTCTGGGGGTGGTTCAGCAGAAGGAGATGGGCCTGGGGACTGAATAGGAGAGTGAGGGTAGGGGAGGATTCCTGGGGGACTTCCAGGTCCCTAACTTGGGTGACAGGTGGATAGTGGCACCATCCCTGAGTCGGGAGGAAATGGAGCTACTCAGTGGAAGCGCTGATGGGCTCAGCTCTGGCTCTGGAGTGTGAAGGTTTTATGGGACACCTAAGTGTCACCTAGGTCTCCAGTGACAGTGGCATACGCAGGTCTGGAGCTCAGAAGAGAAATAGGAACAGGGAAAGAGATAAAGGAATTGTCAGCACAAGGAAAATGGTTGAAGCCTGAGAGTGGGAGTGATAACTCAGGGAGAGCCCTTTTAGGACAAAGAGGGTCGAGGACTGAACCCCAGGGTCCATTTCCATCTTAAAACAATGGTGGGGCTTCCCTGGTGGCGCAGTGGTTAAGAATCCGCCTGCCAATGCAGGGGACACTGGTTCGAGCCCTGGTCCGGGAAGATCCCACATGCCATGGAGCAACTAAGCCTGTGTGCCACAACTGCTGAGCCTGCGCTCTAGAGCCCGTGAGCCACAACTACTGAAACCAGTGTGCCACAACTACTGAAGCCCGCGTGCCTAGAGCCCGTGCTCTGCAACAAGAGAAGCCGCCGCAATGAGAAGCCCGCGCACCTCAACGAAGAGTAGCCCCCACTCATCGCAATTAGGGAAAGCCCACGTGCAGCAACGAAGACCAAATGCAGCCAAAAATAAAATAAATAAATTTAAAAAAAAAACGATGGTGGAGGAGTAGAGAGAGAAAACACCTCCTTTTGCACAGAGATGACCCTGAGCAGAGGCAGCCGGGGGTAGGTGGCTCTGCTGGTAAGGGTCCCACTCTCCTGCTTTCCAGAGTATTTCTTCTAGTGTTGTTTCATCATTGTCTGAAGAGCTGTCTCCAAATGGGATGTGAACCCACTGGGATCATCTTGTGGAAGAATGTATTACAGCCTTTGTTTACTTTTTTATGTAAAAAAAAAAAATGAAAGAAATTAAGCTTTACTAAGATTTAATACTCAGACTGACCCCGGGGCCCTGGCCCAGTGGGTGTGTCTGGTGGTCTCATGCAGGAACTCTCCTGAGAACGGAGTGGTTGGTCAGTCTGTGGCATGAGCCAGCCACAGGGCATTGTGTTCCGGATCCCCAGGACAACCCCCCGTCCAGCGATTCTCTAGGAGGACTCAGTATAGAATTGTACTCACAGCAATGATTAATTACAGAGGAAGAACGTAAAGCAAAATCAACAAAGTGAAAAGGCACATGGGGTGAGGTCACAGGGAATCAGGTGCAAGATTCCCAGAGCCTCTCCCAGTGGAGTCACACAGGGTGCACTTAATACCCCAGCAGCGACTCGCGACAACACACGAAATGTCTACCAGGGAAGCTCACTGGACACTCAGCCCCCAGGGTTTTTATTGGGGTCCGGTCACCTGGGTACCCTCTACTGAGCACATACCAAAATTCCAGGCTCTCAGAAGGAAAGCAGGTGTGCGCATAAATCACGCTGTTTGCACAAACCCTTCAGGCACAGAGTCACTCTTATCATTGAGGGAATGGTGGGAACCCTCCCCAAATCCAAGTTCTCAGACACCAGCCTAAGCGAACCTTGCCAGCAGGTCTTGGGCCTGCTAGGTTACCTCTTTTCTGGCCAGGCATCCTCACCCATTCTGTGCTTTCAGTTTATGGCAACATATTGCCGTTTCCAGTTGCCAGGTTAAATTTACATCATTGAGTTTTTACTAACTTAACTCACTTGTATTATTGGGTCTTAATGAATTTGACCCTACAAAATAGACAAGTGGCCCGAAAATGATTATGCCAAAGAAAATATAAGTCAAAGCAAATATAATAATGCCAAGCATATTGGAGTAATACTTTAACCCAAAATAAGAGATCTTTGTCTGCCACATTATGAGGTAGAAATAACCATATTATTTCATCTCTTACCATCCTTTTAAAAATTTCCTTGTTCTGTATATGTTCGTGTTTAAAGTTGTTTTTCTGATAGGGGGACATGATCAAAAGGGCTTGGAGACCATTGGTCTTCACAGTCATGTCAACCATTAGCTCTAAAAGTGTGTTGAAATCAGCCAGTTCTCAGGCTGGTCAGCTACTCCCCCAGTGTGCTGTCCCTTTGACAGCTGCCTCCCGGGCGGGGATGAACCTGATTGGGGTAAGGAGACTCTCTGAGGAGCAGGTGGCATGATGTGGGGGAGAGAGGGCTGGACTGGGTCAAGGCCTTGACTTCCAGGCTCAGCTCTGGAGCTGGGTGGTGTGGTTGGGAGAAATACCTTAATGCCCCGAGTCTCAGTTTCTTCATCTACAAAGGGGTTTTCTCAACTCAGTTGATGACTCCAAAATATCACTCTGGTTTTGGTGGTTGTTGTTGTTTTATTTGTTTGTTTTTATCATTGTATACTTAGTTTCTGGCCCAGTAATCCTTATTGAATGAACAGGTGAACAAATGAATGAAATGATCTGTAAGGTCCTGTACAACTCTGATAGGCTAGGAATGTGTGATTTGGTCATTGAATAAGCTCAGGTCTAAATTCCAAATAATTGGCTCCTTCCCTGTCTCTATTCTGTTACTTTTCTTCCATCCTTGTTTTATAATACGGGTAATGATGTGGCCATCCTACACCTTCTCTAAAGTACTGTGATTCGTTCTTGCCTGTCTGAAATTTTTGAAATTAAAAAAAAAAAAAGAAGAAGGTTAAGTCCTCACCCTTACCATTGTCAGCATTCACACCTCACCCATCTGTGTTTCTGAACAATCGAGGTAATGCTGTTGTCCTACCTTAGGGGGTTGGTCTTGCCATCTACCCAACCAGTTCCTATTTTTACAGATAAAATGGAAAGGGGAAATGCCTTGTCTCTGAAAAGCTAGAGAACCAAGTTGCTAGAAAGGCAGTGTGAAGGGACTCCCTGAAGGGAGCATGTCTGGGAACCTCCTACATGACTGCCTGCAGCCCTGGGCTGGATGGGAGCACTGAGGTGGGCAAACCTGCTGGGCTCTGGACACAGAGGGCCCGGCCTGTCCACTCCAGCCCAACTGTCTCTCTCTCTCCTAACGCGCCCACCTTCCTGCTATGTTCAGCTGAGGCAGGTGGGGACCTTTCAGGGGGAACTTAGTTCAACAGAGCTGAGAAAGAGCCGGGGAAAGACCATAGTCTAGAACCAGAGCTCAAGAAGCACGCAGCCTTTTTGTCCCAGTGAGTGGGAGGCCCCAGAACCCAGTGGCATACAGCCCAGTCCTGGGCCATGATGTGGGGACCAACCTGGAGCTAGGGGAGTCTCCTGGTTCTTGGAGGGTATCCAGACCAGCCGGTGAGGGTGGACTCGGGAGAGGCTGGGGTCTGGCCACAATGGCAGTGCAGGTGGGGAGTGGGCATCCAGGAGGCCCCCAAGACCTAACAGGTGGTGACCCAGCCTGCACGGATCAGGCTGTTGGCTCCTATCAGGGCTGACAGTTTGTGGCAGCCACCAGCCCAGGGCTGGGGATCAGGGCACACGTTGGTGCTGTGGAACAGCTGAGAGCCAGATAAGGCCTTAGTCCTGAGCAGGGACCCAGGCAGCATCGCTCCTCTCTTTCTCCAAAAGCATGAGGAGACGGGCCCCTGGTGGGAGTGGAAAGGTCACAGCCCCTCTCCGCTGGCCTTGCCCCTCAACTGAGCAGCCCCTGACGATGGCCAGGAGCTGGGCTGGTGCAGCTGCCAGTCAGGCATCCCCGGGGCCAGTTCTGGCTGAGTTCTGCCCTGCTTTACCAGAGTGGCTGGGTCACTAGCGCTGGAGAAGGGCCATGCAGGCCTGTTGTCCTGCCCAGTCTCAGCCCCTGCAGCTCAGTGCTCTCCCCTCCCCGCTGCCCACAACCCAGGACCTGGGAGTCCTGTGGAAGAGGTTCCTGGGACTGCCTCGTCTCCTAGAGACTTGGGTGAGGAGGCAGAGAAATCAGCAATTGGGAGCACCTCTGCAGGCCTGTCTCCCCACATAGAAGGCTGTCAGAGAAGGAAAGGAGGGAGGGAAGATCAGAGGGCTGGTCTGAAACCCCTTAGTGGTGCCTCAGTGGTCCTGGGGGCCTCTGTGCCTCTGTCTATGACTGGCTCCCTCTGGGCTGTGGGCCCATGAAAGGCAGGATTTGAATCTCATATGCCTCTGCGCCCAGGGCCCTGGCCCTGGTCTGGCGAGTGGCCCATAGAACTAAGCCTATCAGATTGAAATGTGATTGAAGGACTATTGATGCTAGTAAAACTCTACAGTATGTAAAGTAGAGCATCTGTCCCATCTAGAGTCCCCCTGTTGGGACACTCTCCTAACTGATGAAGTCCGTCCCCCGGGAGATGTTAATGCCTCTGTTTTCTCATGGCCTCTAGGTCAGGACCTGGATTCTCACCGTGGGCTACACGACCGCCTTTGGGGCAATGTTCGCAAAGACATGGAGGGTCCACGCCATCTTCAAAAATGTGAAAATGAAGAAGAAGGTAATGCCTCCTTCTGTTGCAGGGTGTTTTCAATGTTCATTTAGTATTTATTTTAAAAAGATTTATTAGGCACCTACTGTATGCCAGGCACTGGGCTATTTGCTGGGGATTCAAGCTAAACACAACCCTCCGCCCCTCCCCACCCCAGCCCCCAACACCTTCAGCCTCCTGGGGACATCAGACAGCTAACAGAGCGTTTACAATGCAAGGTGATAAGGGCTGGTTGGGTGCATATGGGGGATACTGGGGTATAGCACCCAGGGAGGGCTTGGTGTAGGAAGTGACACCTATGCTAACACCTGGAGGGTGAGTGGGAAGCAGAGGCTGGGGAGTTTTCCCTCTCCCAGAGGGAACTGTGTGCACGGAGGCCTGGGGAGGGGAGGGGTGTGTTCACGTTGCCGAGGGGTTCATGGGAAAAGGGTACAAGAGGAAGCCACAGGGGAAGGCAGGAGCCATGGTAAGGAACCTGAACTTTAACTTGTGGGCAGTGGGGAGCCCTTGAAAGAGGAGAGTGAAACAGGGCAGGGGCCTGATTTAATGCTTCCATTTTCGAAGAGGCCCTTAGAGGACAGGAGCCCTTCCTTCGTGTGGGAGGAAAGCAGTTGCCACCTCTGTGCTTGGCTGTAACCATCATGTTGATTAAGCTTGACTCTTAGGATGTAGTCATAGAGAAGCTTTCCCCTCACTGTCCTTTCTAACTCTTCCGATGGCTGGCACTCTTCTTCCCTTGCTCCTAAGATAAAACTTCGGGCAAGTCTCATGACTTTGAAGGTCCTCTGGTCAATAGCTAGTATGTGGAGTCCATCATAATATTCAAAACCTCAAACTGCCTTCAAAGGCATCGCCTCTTCGTTCCCCAGCTTGGCCTGAAGCAGCCAGTCACCTGCCCTGGGAGAAGGGGTGCGATGGGCTGCTTCTGTCTTTTGCCAGACTGAGTGTTTTCCCCATCCCATTCCCAAGGTTTCTGAACCCTCCTGAGTTGGGGCTTCGAGTGGTGGAAGGGGCAGGAAGGACCTCACTTGCCAGGAGCTGCATCTATCTTGCTGGGCCTGGCATTGGTTAAGCACACCCTTTAGGCTCTCATGGAGTCCTTTTGCGGAATTTTCAAAGCCCCCATTACTGGGATTTACTCTCCTGCAGTGGCCCTGACATGGGTGAAATACTCCCCCCTTTGGCCATTTGTGGCTCCTTCCACAGACATGTGGCAGTCCCCCACTCCTGGGCCCGCCCCTCCAGCTTGCCTTGGGCAGGCCACACAGCTCTACCTGGCCCAGGGCCCACACCTGGTGCTCAGGAAGCACTCACACATCCTTCGCTCCTACAAACTCAAGGATTGTGGCTGATCCCACTGTAGCCACTTCCCCTCTTCCACTCCATCCATGGAGCAACTGGCCCGTTATCCTCCCGTGGGTTTCTCAGGCAGGAGTGAGGCATCAGCTCACCAGGTCCCCCAGGCTGCAGGGAGCCCTTAGCACTCAAGCCATCTGAGTGCTCTCCTTAAGCCTCCCTCTTGATTTGAGGTCAAGGAGGAAGCATACGCCCCGTCCTCTCACCTGGGGATGAGGTGAGATAGCATCATGACACGTCTTTCCAAAAATCCTCTTCTTGATTCAACTCTACCCACCCCCACACACACACTTTTTAAATCCCTGATGGGTGTATAACCCATTTACAGACATCTCCTGAAAATCCTGCACTGTGACCTCATCCCACTCTGGAACGTGGTGCCTGTTGTTCCAGTTCTTCATCCCAAACTTGCATTTGCCATCCGATTACCTGGGTCATAAGCCATCACGCCTGTGGCAGATAGCAAGTGAGCCCGAGGTGGTAGGGCCAGCAGACACAGCAGGAGAGCAGGCTTCTACTCCCTGCTTCACTGCTGACCCGCCATGGGTCCTTCAGCAAACCTCTTCATCTTTCAGGGCCTCTGTTTCCTTATCTGTAAAATGGTGAAGTATTGAAATGGCATTGTCTCCTGAGCTGTGATTCTGCCTGGTGCCCAGTGGCACCTCTCACTCATCAGCCTCACTGCCTGCCCCTTCACTGCCAGGGAGCTGCTCTCCAGATGGGGGGGGGGGTGCCCTCCCTTCTCCACCCTCTGCTCCACACCGGACCACCTTAGGACAATTATGGGCTGCATTTAGAGGGAGGAAAGAGCTCGGCTCTGCCACCCATTGCCTGTGCTCACCTGGAAAGCCCTCCTCTCACTGGGGCTCAGGAGCATTTGTGACAACTCCCTCCTGTCTGTAATATGAGGAGCCTGGCCACCTGGTCCTTCTCAGACCTGGCTGCACATTACAATCAAATGGGAGCTTTTGAAAACTACAAGAAGTAACCCAGCCCAGCCCACACCTCCGGGCTGGAGCTGAGCATTGGGAGTTACTAGACCTCCCCAGGTGATCCTAATATACAGCCAGAGTGGGAGACCTCTGGCCTAGATCAGGGCTACTCAGAGTGCAAGCCAACCAGCAGCATTGTTGGCATCACCTGGGAGCTTGTTAGAAATTCACTTTCTCAGCTCGCCCAGCCCTAAGAATCAGGTTCCTGGAGCCCAGGAACGTGCGTTTCCACCAGCCCTCCTGGCAAAGCGGATACAAGCCAAAGTTTGACAGCCACCAGGTAACTTCTTGGGCCCCTACTGCTCTGTGGCTCTGCCATTTATGACAAGTCCATCCTGGTTTTGAAGAATCGCAGTGTTCGTTTCTTTGTGTCAATATGTAATTCATGCACATTATTATTGGCAATGGAGAACTGGCCTTTATTTTCTGTTACTCATGTGATCACTAAGCAAGAACACTCAGATTGTCTGGCAACAATTGACAAAACGTGCCAGGGAAGACTTCAGGAGTTCAGTCGTCTGAAAGCGCTGTGGGAGTTGGGGCTGTGATGTGGCCACAGCCTGCTGGGCTGCCTGGGACAAGGGGACTCTCCCCACCCCAGGGGTCTGGGCAAAGTGAGAGCCCAGGCAGGTGGTGGGCCCAGGCGTCCAGGAAGGGGCCTGTCTGAAAAACTGCCAAAGGCTTTGAGTACAAGATTTGGTCACCAGTTTAGCCTGTTGTGAAAATGATTTAGGCCACATGAATACACCTTTCCAGTGTGAGACAGTTTTTGCTCTAGGCTTTCCAGTTATTCCAGGAAAAGCCTTGTGGCGCTACAGCTGAGTATCATTTATCAGCCAAATTAGAGGAGGTTAAGGGTATAGAAGAGAAATTTATACCTTTCACAGATCAAAAACTCAAGTTGGGAACGAGATTGTTTTTAAAGGGTTGTGGCAGTCGCAGGTCAAAACTGGGATTGAATTCTCCATGACTCCAACATTTTACATAGCCAAGGTTGGTTTTTATTGTCATTGTTTTGTTTTATTGGGTTTTTTTAAGTTTAAACTTTTTTTAAAGTGAGCCTCTTATTTTTCTTTTAATGTTTTTTCTTATGCACTTTAAAAAATTTAATTTATTTATTTATTTTTGGCTGCATTGGGTCTTTGTTACTGTGCACGGGTTTTCTCTAGTTGCGGTGAATGGGGGCTACTCTTGCAGTGCACGGGCTTCTCATTGCAGTGGCTTCTCTTGTTGTGGAGCATGGACTCTAGACGCACCGACTTCAGTAGTTGTGGCACGTGGGCTCAGTAGTTGTGCCTCACAGGCTCAGTAGTTGTGGCCCACGGGCTTAGTTGCTCCGCAGCATGTGGGATCTTCCCAGACCAGGTCTCGAACCAGTGTCCCCTGCACTGGCAGGCGGATTCTTAGCCACTGAGCCACCGGGGAAGCCCTTAATTTTTTTTTTTTACTGACACATATACAAGATTTACCTAAATCTGAAAATGCAATCTCACACTTCTTTTTCAGTCTTTTTACCCTTTTCTTCCTTCCCTGTCTCCCACCTCATCCTCCCTCCACCCACCATGTCACACCCTCCCCAAACACACATACACAAACTTCACCCCATATGGCTACATTTTGAAAGACATTAAAGAAAAAGAAGCCTGTTAAAGGAGGTATTGACATGTGGTGACTTAATGCTTCTAAATTCAGTATTTTTATAGTATCAATCGTAAAATCTTGAATTGAAAAGCCTCACTACCACAGTCTTCTTTTTGTTTAATTTATTTATTTTTGACTGCGTTGGGTCTTCGTTCTGTGCGCGGTGCACGGGCTTCTCATTGCGGTGGCTTCTCTTGTTGCAGAGCACGGGCTCTAGGCGCACAGGCTTCAGTAATTGTGGTTCTAGAGCGCAGGCTCAGCAGTTGTGCCTCACGGGCTTAGTTGCTCTGAGGCATGTGGGATCTTCCCAGATCAGGGCTTGAACCCGTGTCCCCTGCATTGGCAGGCGGATTCCTAACCACTGTGCCACCAGGGAAGCCCACTACCACAGTCTTTATTCTGCCTCTTACTCTTACTAGGACCAAATTGGAACGTTAAGACTAGAGCGGGAACTCAGAGATGAGATCTGTTGTGGGGGCAGATGTTTTCTGAGGACAAAGAAACTTCACTACATATATGACTTGATACGGGTTTTCTGAGGACAAAGAAACTTCACTACATATATGACTTGATACGGTTGCAAATAATAACATAGGGCCATCCTCTCAGACCTTCATCCAGGCTCAGCTTCAGGAAAATGCCAAGAGAGTGTCTGACATCTGAGTGACGGCAGGAAGGCAGGGCCTCTGGTTGTACAACTCCAGGGGGCACCATTCACACTGTATTCCCTCTGGAATGGCGTCCCTGGAAGTAGGCAATAAGCTGGTCCCAGTAGGCGGCCAGTCTGAATCAGTCAAAATATCTGAAATTTTTTGGAAAAATAAAGAAATGCCGTTTTCCCAAAAGAAGAAGTTAGCCAACTTTTCCTGTAAAGAGTCAGACAGTAACTATGTTAGGCTTCACAAGCCATACAGTCTCTGTCACAGCCACTCAACACTGCTATTGTAGAATGAAAGTAGCCAAAGGCAAACACATAAACAAATGGATATGACTGTGTTCCAATAAAACTTTATTTACAAAGACAAACAGTGACCCCAAATTCGTAGTTTGCTGATCTCTGCTCTAAACAACCATGGGAAGTGATGTTTACTAGTAATAGCTAACATCTGTTGAACAGTAATTGTAAGCCAGGCTCTGGTAATCTAGTGGTTTGTGTGGTCATCGTCCCCCATTGTGTAGATGAGAAAACTGGCTCAGATGGGTTAGGAAACTTACCAAGGTCTCCCAGCTAGTTAGTAAGATTCAAACTCAGATCTGATGCCAGAACTGGGTGCTTAATCGTTCCTGGGTGCCTTCACTCTCATCTCTCACTCAGTGAGAATGGAGCACGAGTAACCTCCTAGCCTCAGAGAGAGAACTCAGTTTCATGGCATCAGTGTGCACTGACATAACCGAGGAAAGTTTGTGCAGCCTTTGAAGAGAAAGCTGAAAAATAAGAAAGGAAGTCAGGGAAGCTGAGGTGAGACTAGAGACATGGCCTTGCCTAATTCTAGTATTCTATGGTGCTCAGACTTTGTAGGGTTAGGTCAGTGCTATTTTTTAAATTTAAACTTTTAGATCCTTTTTAAAAGATTATTTTTGTCACCTCTCTTTAGCATTGTATTGTGTATACGTATGGGGTATTTGTATAATTATTCATTATTAGTCTCCCCCTATCATGCATGCTCTATGAATGTAGGATATTCATGTTTTGCTCACTGCTGCAGCCCTAGTGCCTAGAAAAGAACCTGATTCAGAGTAGGCACTCAATAAATGTTCCTGTAATTAATAAATCAAACGTGATCCATAACTACTTACTAAATCCATTTAGTCACAAACAGTGGTCAAGTGCCAGGCTTTGGAAATGGTACCAAAAGGAAATTAGACATGTCCTCTCCTGTTACTCTCAGGATCTTCCCACCTGGGCCTGTCTGTGTGATGATTAGCCCTGAGTCTAGCAGAGCTGAGGTGCAGTATCACACTTTGCCCCTAGATGTCACTGTCCTCCACATAAACACAGAGCCATGCATTCTCAAAACCCAAGTAATGGTAGCTACACAGCCCATTTGTTGAGCACCTTCTCTGAGCCAGATGTTGTGCTAGGTGCTTTCCATACATCATCTCATTTCACTCTTATACCAACTCTGCAGCTTAGAGCTCACCGGTCTCACTTTTAGAGGAGGAAATAAGCCTAACAGAGTCATACAGCTTGATCAAGATAACATTTCACAAGAGCTGGGATTAGAATGAGGTCTTATAGATCCAAAATGGTGTTCTTTTTTTGCACCATACTTGGAGATATTACGTGAACCTCCCCACTCCTTGCCAGAAATGCAGAATGAGAGAGGAAGTGATTTGTTAGGGTCACGCCAGGTCACAAGGGATGGTCCGCATAATCCCAGGTCCTGTCTCTCCACTGCCACTCTGCTACCTCACACTTCATACGTGAGCCTTAAAATTGGGAGGACTTGACTCTCATATTTACCAGAGAGAAATTCTGATGCTCATCTTCTGTGCTGCATGCGTGCCTTCCCTATTCAGGCAGCAGCAGGAGAGGTGCAGCGTCCACTCAGAAGGGAGGTCTCTCCCCTGTAGGGGCTCACTGAGGGTGGCCCCAACCCATGTTTCTCAGCCCTACCCTTCAATGCACTACTTCTTGTCCAGTGTAGACTGTGCAGTCCCAACAGACCTGAGGCGTGGTGTGCTGGAGTGTGAGGTGGTCCGTACTCCTGTATGCATGAGCTCTCAGGAAGAGGCCAGGAGAAAGTGGTACTGCTGAGCAAGTTCAAGTTCACTGCCTCCTGGGAGTTAGACTGTGGGGACAGTAGTACCCCTTGTCTCGTGGGAAAGACTTGGCAGAGAGGGAGGGACCTGGAGGTGCTGGCACTTGCTGGTTGGGGAAGTTTGGGGAGGGGGAGAGGACTGAGAGGCTGAGGCCCGCAACTCTGCCTGCCCGGTGCTTGTGGCATCTGCATCCTCCTGTCCATCTGGTAGTCACTGCTCTGGATCAGGCCTCATCCTTCCTCATCAGGACAATGGCCCCAGCTCCTAACTAGCCTCCTACTGCAGGATCCCGCCTCAGGTTCACCCCTTAATGCTGCAGAGAGCTCCCCATCACGCTGATGCTTAAAGACGCTTAAACCTCCAGTGGCCCCCATGAGGCCCCATCACATGTCATGCAGGCTCTCTCTCTCCAGCCAGCCCTGTTTCCAGCCACCCCCAACCGACCCCATGCACACCCAGCCACACAGAGCCTCTCACAGAAAGAACAGGGTGTTTCAGACGAAAGAACCAGCACCTACAAATGCCTGGGAAAGGATAGGAACCTGTGGCAGGTGGTGCCTTATAGGAAGTAGAACCTGAGCCCTAGGCAGGAGACAGTGCCCTTGAACTTGCTCAACAGCACCACTTTCCCCTGGCCTTTTCCTGAGAGCTCATTCATTCATTCTCCACACGTTCCTCAAGAAAGTTTGAGAGCCAGCCCCTGCACAAGGCACCAGGGCACAGAGGGGAGACTGGATGGTCACCGCCTTGGTTCTGATAGGAACACAGTTGCAGTATGGACCCCATGCAGGGCACACCCGGATTCACAGAGGAGCAGCTGCTCAGGCTCAATCTTGAAATCAGGGTAGGAGGGCACCAGCAGAAAGGTGGGGGAAGGAACTTCCAGGGGTCAGGTGCAGTGTGTGCAAATGCCTGGGGCTCAAACAGCCCTGGGTGAGCATCAAGCAGGGAGGCCTCTCCCAGCCTGTCCTCTAAGTCCTCAGCTCCTCAGGCATTTCTTCCCTGTGGCCCAATTTCTCAAGGCTAACAGGGAGCTGCCTGGTTCCCCTGAGGGCAGGGGTTAAACCAGGTTTCTACAAGCTATCAGCGGTTCACTGAATGCTTCTGAAAAATCTCAGAGGGGGCTTTGCCAGTGCCCCACCCCCAGGTAAAGTGGTCTTGGTGGATTTGATCTCTTTGGCAGTAACTCAGCAGTACTTTCGTGTTCTTTTCACAGTTTGGCCACAGAGAAGTCTCTTGAGTTTCTATTTCTCCTTTAAGGATGGCTTTAATCATTAAAAGCCACACCTGGCGATATTTCTTAAGCTTCTGCTTCCGTTTTGTTTATTTTTCTATAGTCTTTTCTGGAACTACTTCATCACATTAGCTTTTGTTTGGCATTGGGGTGGGGGGTGAGGACACATAAACGTGCAATGCGTGAAATACAGGTTAGCTTTGCCCCAGACAGCATTTGTCCCCAGGCCAATCCCCATCAAACGGACATAAAGTGGGGTGGGACCTTCACAGTGTAATAAAGATACCCCAAGCTGCAAAGTGGGATGGGAATTATATTTCTTCTTTATATATTCCTTCATCGCAATTCAACCAGGCAAACTTCTAAGTATCGACTGCATGCCAGGCCCTGCTAGGTGCTGAGGGCAAACAAATAAATAAAACAGGCTTCCCTTTTGTCAGGGGTGCCCCAGTTTACTGAGGAGGGCAGATGTGTATACAACTTAATATAGCATCTGGTCACTGTAGAGCCTGGTAGGTGCTGTAAATGTTTGAGGGTGTGCACTCTGGAGAGAGGAGGAGCTTGGTTCGAATCTAGGCTTCACCTCTTAGTATCTGTATTCCACTGAGCAGGTTACTTGGCCCCCAGCACTAGCCTCAGCTTCTTCATCTGAAAATTGGGAATAATAATAGTATTTGCCTTTGTATGAGATGCTGTATGTAAAACAGTCAACCTAGAGGTAGGCACAGTGTAAGTGTTCACTAAGTGTTAGCATTTGTATTTATTCTCCTTCTTGTACTTATGACTATTACTATTCATAAGTATAAGTATTGAACTTATTAAGTATGATTAAGTCTGGGAACAGAGTGCTATGGGAGTAGTTAGTTCTGCTGTGGGAGTTAGGGAGGCTTCGTGGAGGAGGCGAAATGAATCTGGGTCTCTAAGGATTATTTGCCACATAGAAAGAAGAGTGTTCCAGACAAAAGAGCCAGCACCCACAAAGGCCTGGGGTGAAAATCACAGCAGGGCCAGAACCTGGGCGTCCTCAAATTTAACTAAGTATATGTGTGTGTTTCGGGCATGGACAAGCCAAGCTCATGAAAGGCCTTGAATGCCAAGCAAAGGAGCTTGGCTGGATTTATCCTGTGGGCGATGGGGAGTCTGAGGAAATTTTCAACCTGGGGGTGACGCCATTCAGTCACCCACCTGACCTGGCGCCTCGGCTGCTGTTTGGGAGGCCCTCTCACGTCCCTTCTGCCCCTGCCCTCTCTGCAGATCATCAAGGACCAGAAACTGCTCGTGATCGTTGGGGGCATGCTGCTGATTGACCTGTGCATCCTGATTTGCTGGCAGGCTGTGGACCCCCTGAGAAGGACGGTGGAGAGGTACAGCATGGAGGTAAGCACCTGGCACCAGCAGGACGGAGGCCTATGCTGCTCCCAGCCCCCCCCGCCCGGGGACGGCAAGGCAGCACATCTCCTTTACTGCCCCAGGTACGCTTCTTGAGAAGAAATCGAGGTGGTTCCGGGGAAATCATCATAGGTCCACGTGGGTCCACATTCCCTATCAGGAACGTCTCATTATTTCCGTTTCCTTCCATTTGAGACATATATTATTTCAGGAGGGCCAAATATAAGGTCTTCACTCCTGGAAAAAAATGGTGAAAGAATTTGTCTAGGTGTATTAATATATGCAGAATTGAGGGGAAATGTTGGGTCGTTTAAACCAGTATATTCTCTACACATTGTAGAAGCCCCCATTTATATGATCCATCAGCCTAGAAATTACATTGCATTTTTAATCTCTCCTTTAAAGTGAGTTCCCTAAGGAGTGCTCGTAGGGAATAAACACTCTGATAGCTCCTCCAGTTACTAGAGGATCTTCAAAGTGATGTGTTGCCAAAAAGAAGAACCTTACATAAAAGTACCGTTAAATATATATTTTAGTAGTCTTGCGTTGGGCCTTGCTCTTAACTCACACTGGTCTTCCTAGGATGCTCCAGTTAGAGAAGTTCAAGATTAGAGAAGTTGTAGTTTTGTCGACTTTCTCCTAGAAGTGTTAAACATGCCTTTGTCGGAAAGAGCCAGCTGAACGGCAGTGGCTGTACAGTACGATTTCCCTACAGTGTAGCAGATTCTATTGAGAAAACTGAAGTTTCCTCCAGTTCTCTCACTGCACTATTAGGGAAATCTTTTTGTGGGATTTAGTGTGAATTTTATCAATAAAACTAAACTGGAAACAGTCATTTTATGCATGGAAGACAGAGGTTTTTATCCTTCTGGACAAGAAGGGTTTTCTAGCAAATAAGATGCCGGGCCTCGTTTGTCTGGAGACAGGCAGAGGGTTCGCTCAGCCCGGTAAGAAGTTATGCAGTTGGAGCAGTGGCAGAGAACGCTGTTTCCTGACAGCGCAGATTTAGGGGAAGGATTTAAGGCTATGCGCCTCCATCTCACTGCCTTACGTGTCCATCCGGGGAGGAAGCGGGACTCCAGACAGACACAATCAGACCTGGCAGAGGACAGACCTGCGCTGGCTGTGCCCATGGGCCAAGGGGGCAGGAGCTCAGCTGAAGTCACTCGCACAGACGGGCTGTGGCTAGAGGGGAGGTGACATCTGGTCATCACTCATCTGCACAGTTGGCGAAGGAGCAGACCTGCCCCCAACTCCATCCCAGGGGAATTCACCCACCACCAGGATTTGGAAATCCAGACAGGCTATCAACAGGAGGAAGGGCTGTTACTGGCTAACCGGGCCCCCTGGCTAGGGAGAGCCTGGGGTGATGATAATCACAAGCAATAATGCTGATAACAGTAATAACAGTGGTGATGCTGGTAGCTAGATGTGTGTGTTAATTCACTGAATCCTCACAATAACTCTGTGGAATAGGTGCTATCCTGAACTCCATGTTAATGATGAGGAAACAGAAACCCAGAGAGATTATATAAGGCACCCAAGGTCACCTAGCAGGTTAGTGGCAACACCACCAACTATCGTCTCCCCCACTCCCCCACCCTGCCTTTCAATACACAACAGCACTTCATAGTTTTCAGGTGTATCCACAGACCCTTGGTCACTGGTCTGTGAAGTGGGTTGGGCAAAGAAGTGTTTTCACATTTTGCAGACGAAGCCTAAAAATAGGTAACGGGCAGACTGAGCGCCCAGGATATCAGGGAAGGAGAAAAGGAGAGTCAGGCGGAGCCCACGGGAGGACCTGGAGCTGGGGCAGATGGGCAGAGAGCAGACCCCGCTGGGTTGATGCTGAGCCCAGTGGCAGCCGGCGAGGCAGGGCACTGTCACCTCCGCTCAAGGTTAAGGTGGGGGCGGAGCGTGCACAGGATCCCCTGGGATCTGGCTGTGGTGGGAGAGGCTGCAGGGCTAGAGTCGGCGACTCTGGAAATAAATCCAGGAAGGCTGTCCCCCTGGACTGTTTACAGGAGGTAGACCTTGTGCAGACCATAAGTAGGAGGGACAGTTTGCTACCACCCACATTACCTTTCTTCCTTGCTCTCTGTAGTAAGTACTGCTGCTCTCCATGGCTCCGCACATACAACGCAAGCCCATTCCAGACCTTCCAGGGAATGGTTTTCAAACTGAGGAGCAGCTGGGTGCCACGGAAGCGCTTCTCTGTGTAGATGAGGAAACTGAGCCTGGGAAGGAAGGGGGTCCTGCCCGCGGCATCTAGACTTTTGAAGGGGGGTGGCTGGAGGAGAGCCACATCCCTGGCTCGAGTTCCCCACACCTTGTCTCTGTGTTTCCCTCCAAGTATCTGTGGAGATTTCTCTCTAAACCTTTCCTGGCCTGATCCTCGTTTCTCCTCTAATTTTAGGGTTGCCCTGTCATTCTGTTGCCATGGTAGCAGAACCTTTGATTTGTCAACCCACAGCCCTGTCAGTTTATTGTCATTTTTCCACCAAACATCGCTAAGCTATCAGTTGATTTCCCTCAGACCCTCCTCTGTGAGACTCAGCATGATGGTTGAACAGTGTGCCCAGGGACTAAGGGGTCCTAAGTTCTCCTCAAGGGGCTGTTTGCTCCAGAACCCCCAGTGAGAGAGAAAGTTTATGCTTGGGGGATAGGTGATCAAAGATCTCTGTGGTCTGTTCTCTCCTCCCCTCAGACCACACCTACCTCGGATGCCTTTGGTCGTTCCGGACACTCTAAACACCTCAGGATGCCAGTCACAGGCCTTGCTCTGTATTGTATTTTCAAGCCTTTGCCCATACTGTCCCCACTTCCAGAACCTTCTCTGACAAGTAAATGAACTTCAGTTCCAGGCCCCTGTATTAGCCAATGTGTTCCTGAGCTCCACCAGATTTAAGCGCCTGCTCTTCCCCACTCCGGTCCCCAGCATCTAGGCATCCCCTGTCAGGACACTTAGCATGCTGTTCACCCCTGCTGAGTGCATTTCTGCCCCACCCACCCCTCCTGGGCCACATAGATCACTCTCCCGCACCACCCAGCCCAGCACCGCCGCATGCTGGGAGACCTCACCTCGCTGGGGAGACAGAGGTGAGCACAACAGCGTGACACCTTGAGCTCATGGGGCCCACCAGCTAGTGGGGGGCAGACGGTAAACATGCAAATAAGCACAGTCACTTTAGATTGCACAGATTCTGATAGCAGCTGGAAGTAAATAAGCAAGAGGAAGGGTTTGAGAATGACAGAAGAGTTCCAGAATAACTCGTGGAAGAGATTCTCTCAGTGCAAGTGTCCAGGGAATGAAACTCTGATTCTGGAGTCCGACTGGAGGCATCCCGGCTCCACATTTATTCATTTGTACATAATAAATATTTATATAGCACTTGTCATGTGCTAGACACTGTTCTAAATACATGATGTTTATCATTTTAAAGGAGTTTTTATGCTTAATTAATAGACTTTATTTCTTAGACCAGTTTTAGGTTTACAGAAAAATTTAATAGAAAGCATAGAGAGTTCCCATATATGTCCCACCCCACACCCCATAGTTTCCCCCATTATTAACATCTTGCATTATGTGGTATGTTTGTTACAATTGATGAACCAACACTGACACATTGTTATTCGCTAGAATCCATAGTTTACATAGAATTCACTCTTTGTGTTGTACATTCTATAGCTTTTGCCCAATGCATAAAATTATGTATCTACCATTACAGTGTCATACAGAAGAGTTTCACTGTCGGAAATATCCTCTATGCTTACCAACCCCCGGCAGCCACTGACCTTTTACTGTCTACATAGCTTTGCCTTTTCCAGAATGTCATATAGTTGGAATCATACACCATGTAGCCTTTTTAGACTGGCTTCTTTGACTTAACAATATGCATTTAAGATTCCTCCATGTCTTTTCATGACTTGATAGCTCATTTCTTCTTATCAATGAATAATATTCTGTTGTGTGGATGCACCACAGTTTATTTGCCCACTGAAGGACATCTTGGTTGCTTCCAAGTTTGGGTAATTATTAATAAAGCTGCTATAAGCATTTTTGTGTAGGGTTTTCTGTGGACATAAGTTTTCAACTAATTTGGGTAAATACCTAGAATCAGGATTGCTGGATCATATTCTACGAGTATGTTTAGTTTTGCCAAACTGTCTTGCAAACTGGCTGTACCATTTTGCATTCCCATCAGCAATGAATGGGAGTGTCTGTTGCTCCATCCTCGTCATCATTTGGTGTTGTCGGTATTTTGGATTTTAGCTATTCTAATAAGTGTGTGGTAGTACCACGTTGTTTTAATGTACAATTTCCTAATGACATATGATGTAGAACATCCTTTCATATACTTACAGTATTTGCCACACGTATTTCTTCTTTGGTGAGGTATATGTTCAGATCTTTTGCCCACTTTTTCATCAGATTGTCTTCTTATTGTTGAGTTTTAAGAATTCTTTGTCTATTTTCTATGGTTGTTGTTTTTGGCCGCACCGCACAGCTTGTGGGATCTTAGTTCCCCAACCAGGGATTGAACCCAGGTCCACAGCAGTGAGAGCACCAAGTCCTAACCACTGGACCGCCAGGGAATTCCCTCTTGGTATATTTTGGATACAAGAACTTTATCATATATATATTTTGCAAATAATTTCTCTGAGTCTGTATCTTGTCTTTTCATTCCCTTAACATTGTCTTTAGCAGAGCAGAAATTTTTTACTTTAATGTAGTCCAAGTTAACAATTTTTTATTTCATGGACCATGTTTTTGATGTTGTGATCTGAAAACTCATTGCCAAACCCATGGTCACCTAGATTTTCTCCTGTTATCTTCCAGAAGTTTTATAGCTTTGTGTTTTACATTTAGGTCTATGATCAAGTTTGAGTTAATTTTTGTAAAAGGTGCAAGGTCACTGTCTAGATTCATTTTTATGCATGTAAATGTCTAGTTGTTCCAGCACCATTTGTTGAAAATACTGTCCTTTCCCCACTGGATTGCGTTTGTGTCTTTGTCATAGATGAGTTGACTGTATTAGTGTGGGTCTATTTCCGGACTTTGATTCTGTTTCACTGACCTATTTGTCTGTTCTTTCACTAATCCCACATTGTCTTGATTCATAGTTTTATGGTAAGCCTTGAAGTCAAATAAGTTGAATAATATCAGTTCTCTGACTTTTATTCTTCAATATAGTGTTGGCTATTCTGGGTCTTTTATAAAAAGTCTCCATATAAACTTTAGAATCAGTTTGTTAATATCCACAAAGTAACTTGCTGGGATTTTGATTAGGATTGCATTGAGTCTGTAGATCAAGTTGGAGAAAATTGACATCTTAACAATATTGTGTCTTTCTATTCATGAATGTGGAATCTACTTTGATTCAATCTACTTTGTTTGTTTTTGTTTTTTTTAACATCTTTATTGGAGTATAATTGCTTTACATTGTTGTGTGATTCAGTCTACTTTGATTTCTTTCATCAGAGCTTTGTAGATTTCCTCATATAGATTTTATATATATATTTTGTTAGATTTACACCTAAGTATTTTATTTTGTTTTTGGTGCTAATATAAATGGTGTTGTGTTTTTGTTTTTGTGTTTGTTTTTTACAAAAGTCTTTTGAATCCTACAACCTTGTTATAATTGCTTGCTAGTTCCAGGAGGGTTTTTGTTGATTCTTTGGGACTTTCTACATAGACAGTCATGTCATTGACAAAAGGACAATTTTGTTTTTTCCTTCCCAATCCATATGCATTTTATTTCCTTTCTTGTCTTATTTTTGTATTAGCTAGCACTCCCAGTACAATGTTGAATAGGAGTGGTGAGAGAGAACAACCTTGCCTAGTTTCTGATCTCAGAGGGAAAGCACCTAGCTTCTCAACATTAAATGTGATGTTAGTATATCATTTTTTTTCCTAAATGGTTTTAAAATATATACAAAGTGGTTCTGCTGTCCAAAGCTGAGGGTGCCTTTGGGGAGGTGACAGGAAGGACAAATGATGACACAGGCAGAGCCCGGGTCATTAGGGACCTTGTGTGCTAAGCAGAAGAGTTTAAAATTCAAAATGAAAGACATTTAATCAGGGAGTGACATGATCAGATTTGACCTGGCGGCAGGGTGAGAACAGATGAAGGGGTGAGGCTGAAGGCCCAGCAGTGGCTCAGAGATGGTTTCTGCAGTAATCCAGGCAGGAGCCGATGGCAACCTAAAGCAGGGCAGTTGCAGTGGGAACAGAGAGAAGTGGGTGGATTGGAGAGATAATAAGGAAGCAGACGTGACAAGCCTTGGTGATTAATTGACTCTAAGGGGGAAGGAGGGCAGGGAGGCAGCAAGGGCAATGCCCGGATTTCTGAGTGGGTGGTGGATGGCGAACCTCATCACCGAGGTCAGGTGCAGAATGAGGAGTGGGTTTTGGAGGGTGTGTGAGGGGTTCATTTCTGGACAGAAAGAAGATTGGATGCAGGGTCCTAGAGCACAAGGGAGCAGTTTGTCCAGTAGATAGAGATTTGGGGGAGGGGCAGTTAATACATTGAGGATGGGAGCTGTGGGGATGAGTGTGGTCTCCCAGAGAGTGGGTACAGTCAGAGTGAAGATGTCCTGACTGGAGCCCGAGGAATAACTAAGCAGTGATGGGAACAAGAGGAGAAGCCAGGGCAGGGGACTCTGATGTAGTGGTCAGTAACAGAGCGGGTAGCCAGGAGAGAGGGCTGCCCACAGACAGGAGCAAGGGAGAGAAAGCTGTTCCCGCACGGGAGGAATCTGAGGAAGGAAGGAGGGTCTCCAGAGATGAACGCTCCAGACCAAGGCAAGGACCGACAGGCTCCCTCACCCTCAACCCAATGACTTGGCCCCGTCCTCAGTACTCCTGCATCGCACCTTGCTTCCTCTGCCTTACGGAGTCTGAGGGGAGGATGGCTGTTTCTGCATTTCACAGGTAGCAGGGGTGGATAAATCTGCCAAGTATGTTAAAAAGGTTTTTAAAATACAATTTATATTCTTGGGAAAAGGGAAAAACTCTCCTTTTTTGTATACCTACAATACTAGTGGCGATGGTGAATAGGTATTGGACATACGGGTGTGGGGTTCAGGGAGTGGTGTGGGCTGGAGATGGAAAGTTGGATGCAGTCAGCATATAGATGACACAAAGCCTTGGGTGAGAGCACTGGGGGGCATTTAAATGGAGACAAGAAGGGACCAAGGACAGACCCTCAGTTATTCCCATGTTTGGAGACCCGGGAGGTAGAAGGGAAATAGCAAAGGAGACCTAGAAGGAGAAACCATAGAGACAGAAAGAAAATCAGATGAGTCTGGTGTCTAGGAAACCAGATGAAGAAAATGTCTCAAGGAGGAAGTTTTGATGAAGCGTGTCAAACGCTACTTTTAGATCAAGTAAGATGAAAACCAAGAATTGACACTGTGTATGTGTGTGCATATACACACACACCCATGTGGGTTTTTGTTTTTGGTGGTTTTTTTTTGCTTTTAAGGAAAATAATTTGAGATAATTTCCCCTGGAGTGAAAGCAGTGCATACTGATGGTGTGAAGACAGCCTGTGAATCTAGGTGGAAGGATTCTTTGCTTTTTCCCAAGCTTTTCTTCTCTACCAGGCCACCACTTACGCCTCCACTTGACCATTCTGAAATGGTTTTGAAATGGAGAGGAGATGGCGGACAGCACTAAAGGCCACCAGTGTTGAACCCCCAGAGAGCCCCAGGCAGCCACTGAGGCAGCATCCTGAGGCTGCCTCTGCTCCCTGAGCCTCCCCCCATCCGCTTCCCAGACAGGTGGCAGCAGAGACAGAATCACGTGCAAGTCGGTCACCCACGGGAGCTCCGTACGTGTGTGACGTTCACTTACAGAAATGGCAGCAGGCTGTCCACACCGGCTGCCTGACAGCCCGCCTCAAGAGCCGCCTGCGTTCTGGATTCTGTGCCTTTCTGGCCATTTGGGCAGTGACCAAGTAAAGGGCAGTGTGGGACAGAGGAGGATTTCAGCCTTTCCTCCATATTCCATGCTTTGACCGTGCTTTTTCAAGCAAATGGGGTATCTGGAAGTCATGGACCGCCCTTGGCTCTGAAACTGGCATCTTATTTCAGTTATGTTTCTATGGAAATGGATATTGGAAGAGGCAAATACATAGAGTTTTAAATAATTTTAACTCTTATCTTCTGCCTCCCTCTACAGCTGCTCTGAAAAAAATCCAATCCTAAAGCAGACACTTTCAGGAACGTCTGGTATCTTCATAAAGCTTGTCCAAGCTCCATCTCACACTATTTATTTTGAAAAAAAGAGACAAGAGAATGCCCAGGGTGAGGGGCATGCTAAGGGTCAAGGTGAACCCTGCTCTCTGGGCTGCACACGGGCAGCCTGGTGGCCCAAGGCTTTGATGCCAAGGTCACATTCCAAGTGATGGGTCATCGCCACCAGCCCTGAACAGTGGGACAGGTCTCTCATCCATAGTCATCCATGGGGTTCTGGATGGCTGTCCTCAGGCCACACCCGGATGCAGACCACGCCCCAGACAGGGTAGTGGGACTCTGCAAGGACTTCGGGTGGGTTCATTAGCTGAGAGCCACCCCAGTGAGCCTGACTAGCTCCTCCCAGGAGAGGACTACACCATCTGATGTTCTGACCATGCCATTCTGCTGTTTAAAATCCTCGCCATCAAAAAAATGTCATGAAGAACCTAGGGGTAAGACAGGAATAAAGACACAGACCTACTAGAGAATGGACTTGAGGATATGGGGAGGGGGAAGGGTGAGCTGTGACAAAGCGAGAGAGAGGCATGGACATATATACACTACCAAACGTAAGGTAGATAGCCAGTGGGAAGCAGCTGCATAGCACAGGGAGATCAGCTGGGTGCTTTGTGACCGCCTGGAGGGGTGGGATAGGGAGGGGGAGAGGGAGGGAGACGCAAGAGGGAAGAGATATGGGAACATATGTATATGTATAGCTGATTCACTTTGTTATGGAGCAGACTAGCACACCATTGTAAAGCAATTATACTCCAATAAAGATGTAAAAAAAAAAAAAAAATCCTCGCCATCAGCTAGAGGATGAAGCCCTCACTCCTTAGCAGTTCAAGGGGACCTCGATGACCCAGTGACCTGGCCTCATTTGCCTCCCCTGCCTCATCTCTCGGCCCCTCCCTCGCTCCCTGTGCTCAGCTCCCCTTATTAATGGCACGTCTCCAAAACGTCACACGCTCTCCCCCCACGCCTCTGCATTTGCTGTCCTCCTCTACCCAGAACACCCTCCTTCCCACCCCAATACCCTGTCTTCATGTAAAAAATTCCTACTTGACCTTCAAGAGTCAGTCAGAAGCGTCTTCTCCAGGAGCATTTGGAACAGCGGGCTGCCTTGGATGCCTTTGTCTAGGCTCCCGCCTCACCCTGTTGGCCCTCTCATCTGGTCACAACAGTGGTAATTATTTGTCTGTGCACCTGGCCCCTCCTAGTCTGTGACCTCCTCAGAGGCCAAGGCCATCCGTGTGTCCCCAGCACCCACTGGCAGGGTCTGGCTCACAGTAAGTGCTCGGTAAATATTTATTGAATAAATTGTTCCCTCCACCTAGAACTCTCTCCCCATGCCTCCATATGTCCGAATTCAACCCATCTGTCTGGGCCCATTAAGCCGGCTTCTCCAAGAAATGTCTTTGCCAAGCTGCAATTTAATTTAATATTACACCCTCACCTTTTATCAAGGGCCCAATTACGGGGCTAAAGCTGCCAATTGAAGAATGATTCAGCATCTTCTATAAAAGGCTATTGTTCAGTTTGTGACTTAATGCCCCTGAGATAAAGATCCACAGGATAGATCCTCACAGACTTTAGTGCCAGGAAATGGGCTGTGCTTCCCCACCACCACCCGCCATGAACTTGTATCTCCTTCCTTCCTTCAGTCAAGCAATCATAACTGAATAAGCCACTCTGTTTTCTTTTTAACCTTGGCTGCCAGAAAGTTGGAGCCAAATTCAACACTCAGCCACAATAACCATCTTTTCTCAGGTTCTTGGAGGATTATCCGCCTTCTGATCGTTTGTCTTTATTTTTAATTGTCCTGTTGTGTTTGGGCTTTTATTTTGTGCTGCCTCAGCCCCTTTGGGAGAGGAGGCAAGGTGTAAGTTCCAGATTAAGTTATTAAAATGAGAATGCTAGATGAGATTTAATTGGAATGATATGCCAAAGAGATGTTTTAAAGATGCCTGCAGACAACCTCCTTCTGGCAAGGGTCCCAGCTGCAGTCAGCATTGTGGACCCCATGTATAGACAGACAGCTCTGCCAGCCACAGCCAGGTTTCTGGAACATCTTGCCTCAGAAGGCATCTTAGGTCCATGGGAGACTGCAGTTTATTTCAGCTTCCTTACTGGCTTCCCTAGTGTTTTCAGGAGGTACTTGGGATCCGGAGGCCCCTCAGGACACAGAGCAAAAGATGCAGAGCCGTTGCACCAGGGGACAGCCCTGAGGCAAGAAATTCTCTGGTCTCTACCTGTCCAAGTGCTCTGCAGGGGGTGGGCTGTTTACTAGGAATTTTCAAGTGCCTTGGAGCAGAACAGCTGGAAAATTGTCTGCTCAAGAACTGGAATGGCTTTAGCAAGACACAAGTGGTCAGAAGAGGCCAGTATTGCAAAGACTACCTTTAAATTTTGATGATTTTCCCCCATGTCCATGTTGGCAGAAACACAGGCTGTGGCACCCACAGAAGCATTCCCTCTTTTTTGTGGGGGAATTCCAACCAACCCACCTCTTTGGAAACGGTGTGTCATCCGGGTGCTCCTTCAGCATTTACGGGGGGCCTGTTGTGTGCTGTGCTCAGGCTCCCTCGAGGACTGCAGTCTGATGGGCAAAATTAAATGCACACAGGGTGGGTTGTCGTCTTCTCCATGACGCATGTCCACAGACTCTTGGTCTTACGTTTGACTTACTGGGCTTACTTTTCTAAAATATGAGCCAGGATCGTGTTTGGATGTAATGTCCCTCAGAGGGTGAACAGTGAGAGAGAACAGGGTGTGCTAGGTTTTGCTGTGGTAACAACAGCAACAAAACTCAGTGGATTAAAACAACAGAGACTTCACTCATCATAGCACTTGTTCATAGAGGATCCATTGTAGCTTCCGCCCATAGCATCCTCACTCCAGGACACAGCTGGTTGGGCACCTTCTGGGACAGTTTTTGTGGCAACGGGAAAGAGTGTATGGCAAGTGACTTTTAAAGCTTCCACTCCAAACTGCCACATGTCACTTCCACTCATATTTCATCAGCCCTATCATGTTAATTCTCCATGCCTGGGTTCAGTGGGGCAGGAAAGAGCAGTCCTACTATGTGCCCAGGAGAGAAAGAACCAGGTATCGATGTTCAGCCATAACGACTACTGTAGTGCCTCCCATCCACTTCCTAATCACTGTCACAGCTGCTGCCCCCCATTCGAATGTGAGCTCCATGAGAATAGGGAGGGAGCGGAGTTGTATATTATTCTCTGCTGTATCCCCAGCACCTGCAAACGTGCCTGGCACATAGTACACACTCAATAAATAATATCAGTTGAACAATTGAATGAAGCCCGTCTTAGGGCAATTTTATTATGAGATCAATGAAATATTCTCTGAGAAGTTCTGTGCTAGTCCTGCATACTCTACTGTCAAATCCTATCCTAATCCATCACTTCTGTCCATCTTCACTGCTGCCACCAAGGACCCAAGTACCATCATCTCCCACCATCTCGCATCCCAGAGGGGCCACTATGAGGCAGAACTACAGCTGCCACACAATGGACAACAGGGTTGATGAATAAAGAACCTTTATTGTGTAGGCCACTAAGTTGTTGTTTATTGTTGTTGCCACAACTTTCTAAGCATGTTCCCTGCTTCTACTCATAGACCCTTCCAAGCCATTCTCCATGGCAGACATATATCTTTTTTTTTTTTTTTTTTTTTTTTGGCTGCATTGGGTCTTCATTGCTGCACGCAGGCTTTCTCTAGTTGTGGACAGGGGGCGCTATTCATCATTGCGGTGCGCGGGCTCCTCATTGCAGTGGCTTCTCTTGTTGCGGAGCGCAAGCTCTAGGCACACGGGCTTCAGTAGTTGTGGCTCACGGGCTCTGGAGTCCAGGCTCAGTAGTTGTGGCCCACAGGCTTAGTTGCTCCATGACATGTGGGATCTTCCTGGACCAGGGCTCAAACCCATGTCCCCTGCATTGGCAGGCGGATTCTTAACCACTGCGCCACCAGGGAAGCCCTGTCTTTTTTTTTTAAGATATAATTCACATACCATAAAGTTCAGTTTTAAAATGTATACTGCAGTGTTTTTTAATATTGTATATTCGTAAAGCTGTACAACCAATCCTCACTATCTAATTCCAGAAAATTTTCATCACCCCAAAAAGAAACCCTGTTCCTTTTACACATCACCCTCTATTTCCCCTTCCCTCCAGCCCCTGCCAACCAGTAATCTACTTCATGGCTGTGTGGATTTGGCTACTCCGTAGATTTCATTTCAATGGAATCATACAGTATGTGGCTTTTTGTGTCTGGCTTCTTTGACTTAGCATAATGTTTTTAAGGTTCTTCCACATTGTAGTATGTACTGGTACGTCATTCCTCTCTATGGCTCAATGATATTCCCCTGTATGGATGTGCCACATTTCATTTGTCCATTCATCAATTGATGGATATGTGGGTTGTTTCCACTTTTTGACTATTATGAGCAATGCTGCCATGAGCATTTATGTACAAGTTTTTATGTGAACATATGTTTTCAATTGTCTTGGGTATGTGTGTGTGTGTGTATGTGTATATATATATATATATATATATATATAGAGAGAGAGAGAGAGAGAGAGAGAGAGAGAGAGAGAGAGAGGGAGGGAGAGAGAGGGAGAGAGAGAGAGAAAGAGACGGGTAGAATTGCTATGTCATATGGTAACTGTTTAACATTTTTAGGAATTGCTAGACCATGCCACAGTGGTTGCACCATTTTACATTCCCAGCAGCTATGCGTGAGGGGTCCAGTGTCTCCATATTGTCACCAACACTTGTTGTTTATCTGCCTGGTTGATTATAATCATCCTGGTTGATTACAGGTGTGAAATGGTCTCTCACTGTGGTTTTGATGAGAATGACTGTCAAATGACTAATGATGTTGAGCAACTTTTCCTGTACTTATTGGCCATTTGTATATCTTCTTTGAAGAAATATCTACTTAAGTCCTTTGCCCATTTCTAATTGAATTC